CTCTCCTCCCGCTTCTCCCACATGGAGCCGCAGCAACTGGAGCAGGAGAGCTTGGCAGCCCTGTCCGTCCTCACGCCGCTTCCCATGACCCTTGGGCTTTTTTCCTTTTCCTGGGCTCCTGCTTTTCCCTCTTCTCAGTCTCTTTTACTACAGGTCATTTTCTTACTTCCAAAGTTCACCTAYGTTATCCTACTACATGCGTTTAAAGGCCATCAAAAAGGTTTTTTTCCCCTCTTGTTATAGACTTTGTACCCCAGAGCTTCCATTCAAGACACACACGCACAGAGTTTGAGAAAGAAAGTGGAGCCACTGCTGGGAACCCAAGAAAGCCCAATACCCCTAAAACATTTCCAAGAGAGGCGGATAAGGCCAGAACCTCCGGCCTGGGGGGACCACTGGCCGCCCTGGTCACGACCAAGCAAGGCGGGAGGCAGCGGCTGCAGCTGGCGTCCCAAGTCACACACTGAGGAATGGGGCAGGCACCGCTCTGACACCCAGCAAAACACAGGAAAGAGACACTCTCTCACAGCTGGACGGTCCAGCGGGTCTCCCTCCCAAGCTTAAAAATATGGGAGTTCTAGCCCAAAAAGCAAGTGGATGCAAGTTAAACAAGGTGCAGAAGTCATTCTTTCTATTTCTAAGTTATTCTGTGGTTATTCTGGGTTTTGCACTGAAGCCAAGCCAAGCCAAGCCAAGCCAAGCCTCCCGATCTGTTGTTGGGAGGTCAGGGCATCGCACAGCACGGGGGTATCCACGAAGGCTGCCTGGATGCCTGACGCCTCCCCAGCGCACGCTCCTGCTCACTCAATATTTGTAAGGTTTGAAAGTGCTCTGCTCGGCACCGGAGCGCAGGAGCCCCGGGATGCACAAAAGCAACAGCTAAATCCTCCCACGCTATTCCGAGCTCCCCACCAAGGCTACGAGTAGAGGGACGGCCAGTGACATCTGACTCATGAGGGGGCAGAAACTCCTCAGGGCACTTGCCACYGCTCTCGTGCGGGAAAAACACATGATGGCTGACCCCACAGCATCACAGGATGGTTGAGCTTGGAAGGAATCAACCAGAGATCATCTGGTCCAACCCCCTGCTCCAGCAGGGACACCCAGAGCACGAGGCACAGGGTGGCATCCAGGCGGGTTTGGAAGACCTCTGGAGAAGGAGACTCCACAGCCTCCCTGGGCAGCCTGTKCCAGGGCTCTGKCACCCTCACATGCTACCACCGCTCCTACAGTAGCTAGGGCTACAACCTGCTCTTTCGGTTGTTCACATGCGTACAGCTCCTGTGTGAAAAGGCAAGGGGAAGAAGGCAGCCACGCTTCACATTTGTCACTCATTTTCTTTAACTAAGTGCTTTTGCAAACATGCAATGGTCACCTGTAACTTTTCAATTCTGCTTGCTCAAGGTAATAAATTAAATTAAAAAAATTAATCTCTGGAAGTTGCCTTCATGAAGGGATTTTAAAATCAGCAAGATTTAGAAGTGCCTGACTCCCGAAGATGTCTTAGGAAATTGCCACTGCACAATGACAGCTTATCTAGAGAGGAGCATTTTAATCCAAGTCTGAATTTAGTTTCTTTTGGCCAGTTACATTCAGGTGTAAAAACCCACAAACTTCTCTTGTTAATAACTGCAATAAAAATCACATAAAAAATGAGTTTTAAAAATTTACTTGCACAGCTGAGGTGCAACAGAAAGAATATCCTGATTTATATGCCCAGTTTCAGCTACCCAACACTTCTAAATGCAAAGAAGAGCTGAGAGCAACCCTCAGGCTGAGGAAGTCAAGCAAAATCTGTTCTACAGCTTCAAAGCAGGTTCATTGCAACTGTAAACCATTACCACCTGGTATCTGCCTGGTGAGTTGCTTGTTTTACATCAGTACTGAGCACATCATGTGCTTTTAATGACTCTTTGTTCTGAAATATAGCACTCTTCCATATTAAAATCTGAAGGATATCATGAGGGAACAAGGTATTTCTTCAGTTCCTCTGCCATCCCACCAGAAAGGTAGCGAGACTTGTGATGCTTCATATTGAAAAATTTTTCCATGTTGGAGAGGTAACACAGCAATATTTTATAGGATATCTGTCCAAACATACCTCTGATGCCACGTTAAATCTAAAAAATAAGATGTGACTGCCTACCTGAACGATCAGAATATCTTTTAATAATATATTAACTAAAATGCATATAGGAAATAGTGTTGAAAAGTAACTCAAGTTCACAAACGTATCAATCTCAGATTTAGTTACAGTGAGATCTAGCAAAAGAAAATCTCTTCTCACATCCATGTTTGAGACCATGCTCAGTGAGCTTCAACAACACATTYTGTAACTAAAAACAGATTTTCCTGGCAGTGGTTTAATTAGGGTCAAAAAAAAATCATTTTGATGAGAAAGCTTTTAAAAAGATAGTTTGCAATTACAATTTGCGAATTGTAATTGATAGTTTGCAATTCTTCATAGTGGTTTTCTGCATTGTCCTTCTGCCAAGGATTACAGCCAAGCTGGCAGCTGTGATTCCTTTTTGAGCAGCACCTATTTTGATGTCAATGTAACAMGGAGTAGCACTGGAGTAATGTTTATGTTTTGAAAGGGTGGACTGACCACCAGCAATAACGTGAAACTCAAGACATCRGAAGACAAACAGGTGAACCACAAGATTTAGTTTCAGGTCAACAAAAATGACCCTCRCTTCAAAAAAGATCTTTACCTTGGCAAAAAATGGGTGCTAAAAAACACTCCTTTATCGCTGCTTGGATATATCAAGCAGCAGAGCAGGCTGCAGCTAACACAGTGAATCCTGGCAGGGTGCACACTGCACAGAGGTGTTTTTGGTGCAAATCCTTAGTAATAGCTACCTCCTCAGAACATACAGAGCCCAAGGAGGCAGGTAAATGTGACCTCCAGTGGCTGTCAAATAGTGAAGTAACAAAATGAAAAGAGCCCCTCACAGAAAACAGGAGTAGAGTTGCAAGTCATTTGTAYACCGGGACTGAGCAAAAAGTCTCCTGTGATTTGGTGCTGCCCACACTTAGGCATCAGTAACATGAGCTGCACGGAGCCCGGCCACAACCAGCGAGGCGGCCCGAGCGACTGCAGGAGCCTGTGAGCCCAAAAGCGAGCGCAGAGCTACTGCTTCAGGTGGCTGCTTTCTCCTTCCTCACCAGAACTGAAGTGCTTCCCATTCCTCAGCTCTGACAGCCAGGTACCTTTTAAGATTGTGAATGCCAGCTCCAAAAGTGTCCTATTTCTAAAAGAAAAAGAACTTAGAATTAAGATTAAATGTCACAACTGATATTCTTTCTTTCTTTTTGTTGCTCCCCTGGCAGGCTCCCCTGCTTCCTATGWTCTTAGCAACCCAGAGGTTCCTGTTGCCAGATTTTTCGCTACATTCTTGACTGTTTTTAAACAGTCATGACAGCAGAGTACCTCATGCCAGCAAAACACAAGAACTAGGTCATCAGGAGAGGATACCATTTCATAAATCTACCAACAACACACAGGAGACTGTGAAACTCTCCCTTTCCTGCTGAAAAAAAATAACCCACAACAAATAGCAAAAAAAACCCCAAAATCTCAGTCACACTGATAGAGCATTATACACCTGCTGGGACTAAGGCAACCTGGCTATAAGGTGAAAGGAGAAGGCCAGTCCTACAGAGAGATGACGGAGCACAACCATGAACAGATTAAATATCTGCTCCAAATAAAGCCAGAGGACCAGTTTGTATAGCCTGATGAAGACAGAAGAGGAAAAAAAAGGGATCTTGTTCTGGGGATAAGATGGGCAAGCACGGTTTCAGGAAGTTTAATTTTGTTTTTAAATAGACAAAACCAAGCAAAAAAAAAAAAGATTACAGGATGTGCTGATTTTGCTTAAGAAAAGGTTCAAGCTGTAAACCATGGAGAATTGGGCATATACTTGAGGCATYGTTAGTAGCCTGTTTGCTGCAGCCAAACGTGCCAGTCCCCCTCCTCCTGCCACAATCTGCCTCTGCCTCCCTCCCGGGCAGCCCTCCTTTCTCCYTGGATTAGGGCAGGAGGGAGCGAGGAGCTGTTGGAAGCAGGGCACCACAGTGCAGACGAGCACAAGAGCAGATGCACAGGATGGGATGTGCAAGATCTCCCTTCTTGGCAGCAGCAGATAGGGATCAGTTTACCAGGATATCGAAGGTGCTAAGATTCCATACAAACTTGATGGAGAAGAAAGCCCAGGAACCCACAAAGCCAGGAACCCACCTGAGCCACAAACTGCAGGAGTCTGGGAATGCCCTTTGAGAAAGGGTTTCTGCACGTGCACCYTGGCCTTGGTCACTCCCTCCCCAAACATCTGCTCTCAGCCTGGGAGGGAGGATCAGCCCTGCACCTAACAGCTTCAGGAGTCTGTTCCAGGATAATGTTTGTGGATGTGGGGTTTGTCCTGTGGTTTCCTGTCTTGCTTTGAACAYGGTTAAGCTGAACCTGGACTCATTCCCCAAAACACAAAAATGCCTTGCAGGATGAAACACACAAGCTAATGAGAGCACGTGGAAAGACATGGTAAGGGCAGAACCACATCTTGCAAGAGCAGCACCAGCTTAAAGCTTTGTAAAACTCRGGGCTAGAGAGGAGTCTCCTTACGAGCACCTGCAGTTCTCATCAGAAAGGACAGCTGTGCGGCTTCTGCACATCCTACATTGTTCTTTCGGGAAGTAAAACCACAGTGCATCACTCAGAAGACTGAAATAGTTCTTGTGCCTAAAAACATTAGTAAAAGCACAAATTGAGTAATAACTGTAAGTATCCAAAAACAGGAAAAAAATATTTCTACTTAGTGAAACAGAGTAAAAAAAACTTATGCTTCTAGGCAGTGGTTTTCTTATAAAGAGAGAAAATGAAAAAAAAACACATAATTTTGGTTATCTTGGGAAACTATTAAAAAAATCATTAAAGCTAATGAGACACAATCCAGCCACAAAGCATCAATGTAAACCAAGAGATTTTTGACCTTGCAGGTCCTTATTAGCTTGTATAGGAATACTTTTTTTTTTTTTTTTTGGAATACTTTTGCTTTCTAAAGAACTTGATTTGTTTGTGATCCTCTAAAACACAGCCTTATTTAAGAACCATGGCACTAGATAAGCATGTAGACAGGAGAAAGCTCTTGGCACAAACATTTCCTCAGCCATGAGCAGGTTGTCCYGTCTACCCTGATACCCCCCAACTCGGCGCTCAACCAACTCGGTGTCCTAGACATCATGGGCAAATTGTTCCAGAGTTAATGAGAAGCCAACAGCCACTTCAATAATGTGCTGCGCCTCTAATGCTGGTTGCATTTTGTAAATGAAGGGGATTGAAGCCATGCCTCAATATCCAGGAAAGTCAAAGGGCCCAAATGAAGGGTCAAAACTAGTCACAGCTTCCTCCAATCCAACACCACAGCTTGGACAGGCAGATAGCTGAAAAAATAGAAGAGGATGCTACAGAAGATAACCCAAATGAGTTACTAGTCTGTGTTCATAGGAGGAAGAAACTGTTTTCCCAAATACTTTAGAGGCAGAGAATGTCACCACCACCAGAGTTAGGTCAAGCTGGCTTAAGAGGGGAGCTTGAATCATCCCCACAAGCTGACAGGGCAAACAAAASAAACCCTGAAAATACACACATGCACTCCTAGCCTAGCACAACGACATATTCAACCTGCTATTGCTACCACCCACCCTTCCACAACAACCTGGTTACTGCTTTCCCTAGAGCTGGCAGCTCTCTCACCCTGAGAGGCAGCAGAGGCTGCGTGGTCCAAGCTCAAGCTGCCCTAGACACACTGGAGGATTTGTGAGACGAGCCAGGAGCGGGCAGAGACAGCCCAGCCTGCAGGGCAAGGATCTCGAACGGCTCGTCCTGCAGCAAGGAACAGTTGTAATAAGCTCCATGGGTTAAAAATACCTCCTTTATCAATTTTAATAATTGTAATGCCTTAAAAATTTCTRTGAATGCCCAAAGCAATCCCGCCTCCGTATTTTAAATACTTCCACTGTGTTGTCTGAAGTTCATCTCTCAGAATCTAAACAGCAGCTGAACGAAATCTGACCAAAGATCTGTGAACTTACAAAAGCAAAGAATTTGGGGGGTTTTCTTCTGCATCAYTGAAGAGGAAATTTTTTTAAATGCTAATCAGAACTCACCCCCAAGACCCCAAATCTTTCACAAAAGTTCCAACCACAGAGAAAGTCGATTTCAAAGTTGTGATTAAGGATTACGATGGCATTCTCTTTCCCGTACTTGTGGTAACTCGCTGGGTCAGTGTAGAGGGTGCAATCGGTGCCTGACCACCATTCCAGCAACATCACCATCTCTGGAATAAACAACAACAGCAAACATGTGAATGAACACAGGATACACGAACCCACAAACCGTCAGCGCATCACGAAGCATCAGCAGCCACGTGGTAAAGAAAGGGCTGCTGTTGGGCTGAAATGCTGAACAGCAGCCACGTGGCCACATGTCTGATACAGCATGGAAGGGCTGGGGTAACAGGGGGAGAGGCAGGGAATAAGGGGATGAAATGGAAGGAGGGAGAAAGAAAAATCCACAGTGATACTGAGAAAAAACAGTTATTTAAACATTGCAATTTAAATATCAAAAATGTTATTATCAGAATACATGGATTATTAGCATTTACACTTTGTAATACTTGCATGCAAGTGGAACAACAGAATTTTATGAAGAATCAAACAAGCTTTCAGGAGAAGGAAGCACGCCCATTTTCAGCACACGCAGGTCCCCTAATAGCTCTGGAATTTACGAGGTGTGGAGAGCCAGCAGGGCCTGGCCCGGCTTGYGGGTTCCTCGGGCTCCCGGCTGCCCAGGCTGGAGCTGCAGTGCTCCCTGCAGCCCAGCACGCATGGCCAGCTCTGCACACCGTGCAGGGACGTGCCACGTGCCACTCTCAGCACCGCTCCCTCTCTCAGGGCAAGGAGCAGCATGTAATATAACTGAAGATGAGGAGATGATCACAACACACTTTCAGCAGGTATTAAGCATGTCTAGGAACTGCCCTTTGCAGTCTGACTGCTCATGCAAGCAGCCCAAGAGCAACAGTGAGTGAAGGCTGGGGTGCCAGCAAGCCCTCAGCGCCGCTCCCTTCCACAGGTCTCCAGGCAAAGTCTGTCTACAGGTAGCCAATCCCACCGTCTGCTTAACCTCAGGTCTAGGCTGCTCAGCAGAGCAAGGGCTGCGTTATCTCCTGCAGGAGAAGCTGCAGCCAAGTCTCGTACCCAGCAGAGCAGTTGCTGCCTGGAAAAGCTCCTTCCACGGCGAGGCGCCCGTTCCGTACAGCTCGGGGGAAGCGCTCGGCTGCCGCCAGCCTTGGCTACAGCTGCAGCTTCTGCGGCTTTGAACTGAACCCTCTGAAGCCCCTGTCCCATTCGGTTTGTCCACAGCCAGGGCCTCGATCCAGKTATTACCACAGCGGATGGAAAGGCTCTGCTGGAATTTGGGTGGAACCCACAATGTGGGATGGCATCAGTGAAACGTATCTGTGAGCATCTGGATCAGTGGAATTTCCTCGCTGGAAGATTTCACATCACCATTAAACASTCATTTTCCTTCATTCAGCTCATGGCGTTACTATGTTATTTTCTCTTCCCTGCCTGAGTTACTTTTAAAGTTGCCTTGAACTATTCAAAGCTGGAAGGAAACTGGCATAAACAGGCTCTGACCCACAGGCAACCAAACCAGCCCTGCTCCCCAACACAGGCCTCCCGAGAGGGAGGGCAGACGGAGCAACAGGCAGGGAGGCAGTGGAGAAACAGCTCACGCCACAAGCATGGTACTGAGCCCCTAACCCTGCCACCGCTGCCCATCTCTCCCCACGCACATCTGGTGCCTGCAAGGGCAGCCGCCGCCTGCGGAGCGGGACACGGACCCAGCACTGCACTCTGCCCATGCGTGCACTGCCAAAGGGCTCTGGAAAACACAGCTTAAAACTTGCCTATGGAGACGTCTCACCACTGACCAGCCCCCTTTCAAGCATCCAAAACACATCAAGCACTTCAGTGTTTGGACTATGCCAGGCCTAAGAAACAGATTTTGAGAAATGAGGTCAGAGAAAGGGTGTCACAGTTATATACTGAGAGGTCCAACTTTTCTTTCTCTCTCATAAGCCTCCCTTATATTTACTCACACTTTATTCTCCCAGCTGGGGGTGCCCAGTGCAGGGATATTTACCATGTGCCCTCCCCGCTTCTTTTCCTCCTGCACTGCTGATCCCCCCGCTCCAGAACCGCAGGCCGAACCAGCCGGCACTATCTGTGATTAGAGATGCACCACAGCCCTCTGCGGTGCCCCACAGCCAGCGGCACCCGAACACGATGCGGCGTCGGGCAGCTGAAAAAGAAGCCATTTGAAGCGATTAAATGGAACATGGCAGACACAGGAGCCCCGCGTGGTGGGAGCGAGGCAACCACGCGGAGCATGGGAAGYCGAGGCGAGGCGGCAAGCGGCGCTCCTGGAGACACAGGGAATCCGAAAGCAGCGGCTCTCCTGGAGGAGCTGGGGCCTCAGCCGGAGCTGGGAAACCACGTGGCTGAGGAGAGCTCTCTGTCCAGACGGAAAAGGAGGAAAGGAGATACGGGACGTGCTTGCTTCCTGCCAGAGCTATCGCATAATTTCTGCACCAAAGCAGAGGTCCAATGCAAGGAGCTGCTTTTGGCTGAAGGAGATGCGCCCTCTTTACAGGGTTCCCCGGAGGGACTTGAGATGCTCTCCTGGTTTTAGGCAAGCCCCAGAGCCCACGCACATCCTCATGCACTTCGGCACAGGCCAAAACCAGGCCAACCTTTGAAACGCTTTTGAAATCTTTTCAAGCAGGTCCCCCACGGGCCCCAACTAGCATAAAACCTGACAAGTCAGAAACAAATCTATGTTTTCAGTCATCATTAGTTAAATTAACTGCCTGAAGCTTTTGGATGACATTGTGCCATGCACTGAAGAACAGGCACTGGTGCCCTGAACAAGTTTACCCTCACATGACACTCGAGGCAACAGGCGATCTCTTTTCAAGCGTTACCCCTGCCCCAACAAAGTTGTGGTCAGGGCCCACGGCTACAGCAGAAAGCCTGGCTTCCCAGCTCCTGCTTATCCCTGACCCRGGCAGGCACCTGCTCCCACAGGGGTGAGGCATCAGCACCGACACGATGCTCCTCACCTGCATCTCTGAAACAATACAAGAATAAAACAAYGAGTGTCGCCAGTGGGAAACAGATTTCCTCACAAAATCCCCAAGCGATCACACCTCCGGGGCACTCATGGGGATACCGAAGTGAGGAAACAAGCACGTGGCCGAGCTTCCCCGCTTCACCTGCTGAGAAGTGCCCTGTGCCCAGCACCCGCAAAGGCGCCTATCTGTGCGCACRCAGCTTTCTGTCAGGCTGCTGTTTTAAATGAAAGCCCTCTGCTTCCCAAAACTAATTATAAAAACAAAGCCTAACTTGCATAACTTTACAGAATCACTGATTCTGGCAGGCCACAGTCACCGAAAAGGAAGGAAGTTTGTGACAGACTTTGCTGCTTCAAGTTTCCTTGGCGAGGAAGCCAGCTGAGAACAGAATGAAAGCCACAGGATTTTCCCTGTTACTGGTAGAGCTACTGCTTAAAATAAAGATGTAGTGATGATGTCAGTAAGTGTCTCTCAAAGAAAAAGCCACCTTCCCTTGGGAAAAACAACTTCATCAAGGTCATGCCACTTCATTCTGAGTGCTCTTTTGTCCTGTCTTTCCCTAAGGAATTTGATTTGAGCCATGAATAATACATCAGGAATCCCACTCTACAGGCCCACCACGTGCACAGAGCTCTTCAATTACGTATTTTCAATCTCAAATGCATTCCAAAGAAGCACCTAAGAATATTTCTATGGGCAGTTTGATGCCGCAGGCTTCACGTGAGAGCACTTTCTCCTGAAGGCCCCACCTCTCACGCTCACTCATCACCGACAGGCTCCCGCAGTGGCTGCACAAACACAAAGCACCCCCTGAACGGCACCGCATCCGGTGCCATCTGCCAGCCTTACATTTTTATCACCATTTCCCAACCTTTCCACTCTGCCCTTCCCCTCCCCCTTCCCAGCCTCCCTTCTCCTTGTGGTTCTATCAGGAGCATGAGGCTGCCCACTCACTCCCACTGCCTGCCACGGAAATTTATTACCCAGAAACTTGCTGGGGGGGCTTTACAGGCCAAGCTCGTCCCCCTGCACTCTGCCTGCCCCTTCYGCTGGGCGAGCGACCCGAGCGAATCCCCTTTTCCTTCTGCAGCATCAGGCTGTGAACGACCACGGCACCAACCCACGGTGGGGAAGGAGGGAGATCTCTCACTCTCCAGCTACACTGGACCAAGCTCTTCTAGCATCGGGCTTTTCTCACTCCTTTTATTATTTTYCTAAGGAGGTTCTGGAGTTTCAAAGCAATTTTATTTGCAAGGTTTTTTTTTTCTTTTAGTTCCAATTTCCGCAAAAAAAAATCCTTCTGATAAATTCATGCCTCTATCAAACCAAAGGGAAGATGTATTTCCACTGTAATGGTATTCTCTATGCTATAGTTTCCATAGTCAAGGGACGAGCTGCACAGTATCTAATCCAGCTAAGAGGCTGCACCTACAAAAGACAATTCCATATTTCAATTTTTTTTTTTCCTAACGTTTTTGAGTTCTACTAAGAGGAAACCATTTACTGAATACTCACTCAGCYAAGTCACCAAAACCCCTCTGGGAGACGCTATAGGGAGCATGMTTATAAATTCCTATGAGAAAGAGCATCTTCCCGGTCCCTAAGCAGACACGCAGCACGGGAGCAGCTCGGGGGAAACCCCCCAAGTGCTGCCCCACGCCAGGGGCCAGCCTGGGCCTGGGGCCCTGGCACCCACTGCCCTCGGCCGACCCGGGCAGAGCCCCGAGCCGCCCGTCACAGCACCCGCACAGGCTAAGGTGTTTCCCTGTTAGCTTTATTAACGGAATCAATATCAGTAAGATCATAAATTACTTTTAGACAKTTTCCCACCTTAAGTTGCTTCCCACAATATTTCAGTGCATAATACGAAGAGATTTTATGGCCTTAAATCATCTTTATTTACCCACGCTCTACCTTTCCCAATCTGTTTCCTTGATCTGGATAGAGGAAGCACAATGTATCTAATGTTTGGGAAAGTGGAAGAAAATGTGCAGGATAACAAGAGAACCAAACCACCTATATATCTTACAGAAATGGGGCAGTACTTTTACGGATGTTCTGTAATTCTGGTTCTATAAAGAAGTTTAATCACCTTTTCACTCAAATCCTACCTGACTTCAATTTCCAGCCTTTGA